ATGAAAAGGACTGATATATAGATGAAAAGGACAAAGATAGATAGATGATAGATAGATAGATAGATAGAAATAGATATGAAAAGGACTGATATAGATATATATGAAAGAGGAGAGAGATAGATAGATAGATAGATAGATAGATGAAAAGATAGACTGATATATATATATATGAAAAGGACATAGATAGATAGATAGATAGATAGATAGATAGATAGATATAAAAAGGACTGATATAGATAGATATGAAAAGGACAGAGATAGATAGATAGATAGATAGATAGATAGATAGATAAAAAGGACTGATATAGATAGATATGAAAAGGATGAAAATAGACTGATATGAAAAGGAGATAGATATATGAAAAGGACAAAGATAGATAGATAGATAGATAGATAGATAGATAGATAGATAGATAGATAGATAGATAGATATAAAAAGGACTGATATAGATAGATATGAAAAGGACAGATAGATAGATAGATAGATAGATAGATAGATAGATAGATAGATAGATAGATATGAAAAGGACTGATATAGATAGATATGAAAAGAGATGAGATAGATATAGATAGATAGATAGATAGATAGATAGATAGATAGATAGATAGATAGATATGAAAAGGACTGATATAGATAGATATGAAAAGGACAGAGATAGATAGATAGATAGATAGATAGATAGATAGATAGATAGATAGATAGATAGATAGATAGATAGATAGAGATATGAAAAAGGACTGATATAGATAGATAGATGAAAAGGGATGAGATAGATAGATAGATAGATAGATAGATAGATAGATAGATAGATAGATAGATGACCTGCTTAGTTATTAATTATCACATTTTTTAATTTTTTCAAACTGTGTTTTTTGCCGTCCAATATTCAGATGCAATTTATTCCAAAAATCTTTTCAGTGTTCCGAGTCGTGCTTTTTTGACCGTCGCCTTGCTGAAGTTAATGGCGGATTGCTTTATAGGAATCGTCGAAAGTGGCATTCCCACTTGAAACTTTGCCTTGTGTCAGAAGAAGCCCTTCGTCTGCCTAAAGAGATCAGAGATGCCAGTCGGGGTTTTTGTTAACGTTGTAAGCGACGACATTATTGTCAATGTTCTAAGCGACCCCAATAGGAAAAAAAAAAATTCTCGTCGGCAACATTTGGGGAAATTTTCTTGGACTTTTGGATAGAAAAAGAAACCTGTAAGTCAAAAAAAAAATAAGTGAAAATTACTTTTTCGAATATTATTTACGATTCATTTATTAATTATAAAACCTGTGTAATCTTTGTAAAAATGTTCAGTTTTTCTTATTATTTCTATCGATCTTTTTTGTTTTGGTTTTTCTCGAAAAAGCAAATAAAAAAAAACAAATTAATAATTATTTTCTTTTTCTAATTATGTTTTTCGTTTTTATTTAATGTTATAATTTAATTTTCATTTTAATACTTGAAAAGATAAAAAAAAATTGCTTATTTACTAATTCGTATGAATTTTATTAATTTTCGAATGATGTTTCGTCTTCAGCTTCAGTGTTTCCTGAAAATGTCATTTTTATTAGCAGAAAAAAGAAAAGGTTAGGTATATACATTGTATATTAATTATTAAAGAAAGAGTCAAACTGAAAAAAAAAAATCCTTTCTAATTAAGAGATGACAAAAGGACAATCCTGTCTGCAATTAAATCTTTTTGTAAACTTTAAAATTAAATGCATTTCTTTGGTCATCTACAAACCTACATTATTATTTTGTTGAATTCTTTTCTTTACAAGGTGGAATAAGGTTTCATTTTTTCTTTCAGTTTAAAAAAAATCGTAATGTTTGATGCTAAAAAAAACAGGAAATATTTAATTAATAACTTAAATTTTAAATGTCTAAATCTCTCTCCATTCAACAGGCGAGATATGAGCAATATGTGGTTTATTTATTTTTCATTCATTCACTTTTTTTAATCTTTTATCGTCTCGTTGTTAAGAAATTTTTAATCACTTTGAAAAAATATAGAAACGAAAGAAGTCTTGGTCGTTTAAAATGAGAATAATAAATTGTTGAATGACCCAAGTAGATATCTCTGTACTAAGGTGCGTTTTTTTCAAATTATTCTTAATTAACCGGATACAAAGAAAAAGAAGAAAAAAGTCGATTCTTTTTCGAAAACTACGTAAAAAAAGGAACGAATTGTTTGTTATCAATGAAGAAATGGAAAAAATTTTAAAAATAGAAGATTTTCAAAATAAAATGTTTTCAGTTTCGTGCTTGGAAATAATATAAATTTAAAGAATATTAAATAATAAAAAAACATAGCATTTTATCAACAATTAATAATATTTAAATTTATAATTTAATTATCTCTTTCTTTTGTAATATTTCTTGGCTTAGCTCCTGTCTAAATTAATTTTAAAGTTTGTTAAAAAAAAAAAAAACTTTAAGATTACTTGCATCATTTACATTAATCGGACTGTTATCCTCATCTTCATTGCCATATTCACAAGGACACATGGCCCAGTGGATAAAGACGTTGGTTAGATCCAGTGAAGACCCAAAGAGTTGTGAGTTCAATACCAGGCCATAGCAGAACTTGGAAAGTTGAGTTAAAGGAAAATGGCACATGGAACTAGAACAATTTACCCTGGTGGACAAAATAAAGGGTTCGGTTTGAAATTCCAATGACCTGAAATATTGTGAATATGGCAATGAAGATGAGGATAACAGTCTCAATAATATAAATAATGCAATAATCATACCTCATCTCAGAGATATAGACAGATTTTAAAAAGATTATCTAAGCCTTAAATTATGTCAGTCCTTTATACAGAGGTTAAAAAATGAACAGTTGATTTACCCACATCAAGGTTAATGAATTAAAAATGATAGTAATGACGAGGAAACACATGTAATTTTAACAAAACAAGGAATTTATTCACTTGAAGTAGTGTCAGTAGCTCATTTCAAGAAAATAAATCTGAATTCTTAAAGTCCACAATTTCAACATATTTTCATGAAGAGGAAATGTTCATAAAACATTTTAAATGATCTGACACAAAATAATATTCAAAAATGTTTTTAAAAAAATAAAACAAAGGTAGGAGAGTTTGTTGCTCACAAAAAGGGATATAGTTTTTGCATACATTCAAAAATAGACAAAGAAGAGAGATAGTTTGAAATACTTAGCTTTCTTTGAAAATTCTTTGAAGTCTGTCGTGCTGATTAAAGGCCAATAATATAATTAGCAAATAATTTTACACTGATGAGAACTTCAACACTGGACGCGATGAACAGAAACGAAACCTTTCACATGACTGCAGACACTCTTTTCTCATTAATTTTTCTCCTCATTTTATATCAAAAAGAATTCCACATACACTTACTACTTCCTTCTTCTTAGCAGACCAACTAATTCCTGTAAAGGCAAGGTTTTCATTAGTTCGAAAACAATTTCACATAGACTCGCAAATATCTATTCTTCTTTTTTCTGTACCCTTATTATCCATATCCTGCTATTCATTTACACAAGCATCTTGTTAGTTAAGGTTAACGCTGTTTCAATCTATCCTTGTCACCATCACTATGGTGATTTTCAAAGTACGGCTTAAATATAGCATCATTCCAAAAGTATGGAGCTTCCAATGAAGATCAAACTCATTATTCATCATAATTGGTTTAGTGAGATAAGTTTGCTAAACATTACACCACATCAAGTTGCCCATTCTCACCTTCAATATGTCTTGTGAGTGTTAAATTCTCCATACCCTCTTTCTTCATTATGTATCCCAAAACTTTCAACTCTAAATACAAGTGTCCTTTTTGTTTCTATTTGCCATTTAAACTTCTTTTTGCTCACCTGCTCCACCCATGATATTCTCAACATCCTTCTGTAGAATCACATCTCTATTGCCTCAAGTCAATCAAACACAATTATAACTTGACATCAAACTTCCTTAATCACTATTAATCAGATTTTTGTACACATTGCAAAAAATGATGATTTATTAATTTTCAGGAATTTTTTTAAAAAAAGAATAATTTTTCATGGTGAAATTCCCAGTAATTTATGCCAGACAATTTGTGTGTGAAATATTAAGATGTAAAATTTAGTAAATTTTATTTAAGTAATAAATTCTGTAGACTCACCTCTAGTGTATAGCATCCCAACATCATTACGCTAAGTATTAGTGCTGTTACTGTAGCAAGTTTTTACATCCAGAAATTTTGGATTACTGTTGTCCTAGACCGGTTGACAACCAAGGCTAGAGAGCCCAATCTGCTGTGCTATTTGCCTCTAGCTGGAGTAAGAAGAGAGGCTTCATGTCTTCCCCACGGTTATTTGTATGAAAGTGAACACATAAGCCTCAGCTAGAATGTGAACTCCTCACACTAATCCCACTTCTTATGCCAATATGATGAGTTAGAAATCAGAAGGAAAGCAGAATCAATATTGACTATCAAGTTGCAAGGGTCTGCTGTGAAAGGTGTTGGAGATTTGTGGGGAGTTGTTGTCAATGAATCCTCAGCAATGACCACCAGACCCCTTTTTCAAAATCCGCATTTTCTAAAAGACCATAGGCAACACCACTCAGCATGTTGGGAAGAAAATTGCTCAGTATGTTGTTCTCATGTAATTTTCATAATTCTGCAATTACATCCAGGTCTGTAATCACAGAGCACCTCATACAAAATTGTGAGTATACTGTGTTTTACCAAAAGGACATGCTCTCAGTTCTTTGCAAGTTACACTCTGATTACCACTTGAAGGTCCTAGAAATGGTTTTCATTAGTATGATAGCCTCATCTATGTAAGCAGAACTTGAGATGCTGGAACACAATGTTATTTGTCTGTAAAATATTTTGTTTTCAGTATAGATCTAATTCTAAATAATGAGGAGCGATAACCGGCTAATTTTTAATTTCTTTTTCCACTTCCCTTTCTTTTTTTTTTTTTTTTTTTTTTGCCTTTTGATATCAAAAAAATGGTTTGGGATTTTTGCCTATTTCCCTAAGGCTGCAAATTTTATCATTTTCAAAGATCATTGAATTGACACAGCCAGAAATATTTTTATCTTTTTTAATCATTTCACACCCCAAGCAAGGCAATGAAGCCACTAAGTGTTATAGGGGAACACACCTATTCTATTGTTAATAGACACTCCCACCTATAATAAGTAGGAGTAGTAGCAGTTGCTAAATCGCAGAGTTGGTCAGTCAGTCGATGTCAGACGACCATTAGTCGGATATTAAAGTATCAGCCACCACAACTAGATTGCTGCGTCATTAACTATTATATCAAGTTCCTAACGTTTTGTGCGTCGAACCTATTTTAGGACCGACTTAGTGAAATACAAGCCTCCACTGTGAAACTACTCTATAACAACTTGGTGACAAGTGATTCTAACTCATACGGAGAAAAACCTTTCGTACTATACAACACTAAGACACAAGAGGGTTACTGAGTGTTATAGAATGAGAAAAAAAAAGCATTATTAAGGAGAGAAAACAATAAAAGAACAAGAATTAAGAAGACAGATGATAACAATTGGCATTGCTTTTAAATTTTTCAAGATCAAAGTTGACTGGAAACAAGAAGCCAAAAAAGAGTTTCACAAGTGAGAAATGTGACAGAAGGAAGCATTAGCATAGAACTTACGGTTACATCTAATCATTTCAACTGTAAAATGATGAGACGTTACCACCAATCTAGTAGTAGTACTGTGCTTAAATTCACAAAGGCTAGGTACCATAGAGGAAAGATCATCTTATATAAAATATTTAACATTAGTTAAAAAAATTAGTTGATGCCATGATGCCAAGTGATACATTTTTTTTTTTTTTTTTTTTTGAGTTTTGAAAAGTAACTCTTTGTAATAATGAAAAAATAAATATGGAGTTGATGTGGGAACATTCTTTTGGAGTTAATTTACTATCATCATCATCATGGTTTTATTACTACATTTCATCTGCTGTATTCTTCAGCCTTCCTCAGAGGAGACAGTTCCTGTTAATACAGCTTCCTAAGATCTGGGTATCAGAAATACTTATAAGCAGCTCCAAGAAGAAACCTCAAACTAGCTACAGTAATGTTTGATGACCAGATATGAAACTATATCAAGGAACCTCTACTGATTGGTTTATATTCTTGAGGAAGGCCAAAGGATGCATCGGTATAAATCAGTACAGATGGTAATATTAGTTTAAAAAAAAAAAGATGTGGAATGAAAATAATGATTTCTTTCAGATTTTCAGACAATTAGGAAAACATAATAAAACAAGAAAAGTAAAATGGTGATTATTGTTTAAATTTCAAAAATACCATTTTTGGAAGTAGAATCTTTCCAAGGAATTAAAAATCAAGTTTTGATTTGCAGATAAATGGTGGAATTTTTTTTTTTTTTTTTCAAATTAAGAAAAATGTTTTTATTAATTCCTGAGTAAAAAATAAAACTGAACATTCGTGGCAGTAAATAACCATTTAATTAAAGGAAATAAGGATTTCTGATGTCAAACAATCATAATCTGGATGGAAGTGGGGAGGTATTTCATTATTTGAGCAACATTAGGATGGAATAAATTCAGTTTACTTTTGCTGCAAGAAATATAACCTACTTAAAATTCAAAATGAGTTACTGGATTTAAAGAGAGAAAAAACTTAAATCAAAAAATGGTGCAACCGTTTCACCTTCTGCTACCAACTATCATCTTTCTTGATGATCAGCAGCAGCAATTGTAAATATTTTGCTCTCATTCAAAATCTTTGGTCACTGAGCCTTGTCACTGCTGCTAGTGAATTGAAACAGATCACCCACAACATTGTGTTCTGAATTATCAAATGATGAAGTCTCTTAGCTCCAGATGAAATAATCTTTAGTGAGATTCTGGTCAAGCAAGAATGTTTTATTTATATATATATGCACCACACACACATCTGTATAAAATTGAAAAAGAAAAAATCATTTCAATTTCCTTCAAAACACATTGAAACTTTTGTATTTTTATATTGGAAACAAATTCTAAATGTAAAAAATAAAATCATTTTTGTTTCTAAAATTATAAAAGCTCAGGTACTTGATTCATCCTCTAACCCCTTATTATTTCACCTGAAAAAGAAAAATTGGCAAAAAAAACAGTGTGTTAGAAAAACAGTTTTTCCCTCGACACTGCTATTATTTTAACTACCTTCACTCCTCGGCAATGTTTGTTTAAAAAAAGTGATGATTAGGATTGTAATGAAAGTGAATTTATATATTTCTTTGTTTTTGATAATTTACAACAAAAATATTAAACACTATTTATTAGATTATTTATTTACAAGAATAATTTTATATTTACAATATTCTAAAAACTAATATAACTGTACTAAAACTAATGTAATGCAATATTTATCAAGAAATAAATACAAAAACAAATTTTTATTCCTAAATTTATAAATATTTACTAAATTATTAAAATATGTGAACCAACTCTAAGGAAATCCTTATTATTTACCATTCTATAAAGTTGAAATTGATTGGCAATTAGCTTATGTTTTGCCAACCATTCCAATAAACAATATAATAAATAGTGTTCATTATTTTTATTATTAATTCTCAAGAACAAAGTAAATGTTTAAATTCACTTTCATATGTTTAGCCTTTATTAAAATTTTAAGATTTTTAAAACAATAAACATTGCCAAGTAAAGGCAGTAAAAATAATAGCATAAGGATACAAAAAGCACTTATCTCACCAGTCATTTATCAGTTTATTTACAGCAACCAAATGGTAAGGTTGCTTTCTTTAGCTCAAGGTCCTCCCATGGTCCAGGTAGAGTATAAATCTGCCTCCCCCAACAGCTTACAAGTCCATGGTGCTGTTTCCCTTTGGGAACATGTGCATATATATATATATATATAGAGAGAGAGAGAGAGATAGATAGATAGTTTTGTGTATGTCTTTGTAGTATAAAAGTCTCTCTGAGAACAAATCATGTTTATCATTCTTTTTCCTTTCAGCCATTCCATTCCATGAAATACGGTGTTATTATATCACAGACATAATAATGCTCATAACAGGGGAAATACAAATAGGAGAATAAATCTATTCTTCCCTAGCTCTATCCTATCACAATAGTAATAGTTGGGGGAATGTTGTTCTTTGTTTGTTTTTTTTTTTTTTGTTTTTTGTTTTTTTTAACATGTACAAAGGGTAAACATTACCAAAAAAAATCATTGAATTGGGGTGTAACAGAGCAGTTTGATTTTGAAGTTCACTCTCTTGATTTGTCTCTTTTTTTGAATTTGAACCCTCCCTGTCTGCACAGGTCATCATGAACAGTTACGATGGGCAGATGGACTTGTCTGGCAAGTTAATAATCAAAGTTCAATTGGGAGATGATATGAAATTTATCCCCATCCACAATGTGGATATTACCTACGATGAACTTGTGCTTATGATGCAACGTGTCTATCGAGGTAAACTGGGTACCAATGATGACATCATAATCAAATACAAAGATGAAGGTCAGCATCCATTTTCTTTTTCTTCTTTTTTTTTCCATGTTCCTATCTTTTCTGTTTCATGCCTCTGAATATTCTATGTCTATAAAAGTTGCTGAATTTCTGCCATGAAGTATTTTATCATTCTTATTCAATTGTGACCATCTGAGAATTATTAAAAGGTAAGAAAAATAAAATGAAAGACTAGACAAAATTTAATTTTTCTCTTCTTTTTTTCTTTTTCTCTTCTTTTTTTCCTTTTTCTCTTCTTTTTAAGCCTATGAATTTTTCTACATCTATAAAAGTCCCTGAATTTCTGCCATGAACTATCATTCTTATTCACTTGTGACCATGTGGGAATTATTATATTAAAAAGATAAGAAAAATAAAATGAAAGAAAGACTAGACAAAATTTAATTTTTCTCTTCTTTTTTTCTTTTTCTCTTCTTTTTTTTCCTTTTTCTCTTCTTTTTAAGCCTATGAATTTTTCTACATCTATAAAAGTCCCTGAATTTCTGCCATGAACTATCATTCTTATTCACTTGTGACCATCTGAGAATTATTAAAAGATAAGAAAAATAAAATGAAAGTTTTTTAGCCAAGAATCAATAATAATCCTGTGTCTATTTTGGATCTGTATATTTTTCTTACCATTATTCTTTTTGGGGGCGTGGGGATTATTTCATTTTCTTTTCTCATTGCTATATTTCCTCTTCCAATTGTTTGCTATTTGGATTGTCCAAGCCAGTTTTTCTATAAATTCAATACGTGCACCTTCCCTTTAAATTTCAAAAAAGCCCCTGACTACCTTGGCTTGGGATAATGATTAACCAGTTCATCTGGTTGACTATTGTAGTGTAGTAACTTCAGTTCTCACCAGGTGCCCCATACATGTGGTTAGTAAGCAACATTTTTCCAATCATCAAAGGTCCTATCAGATGCATAAACTTGTGCCTTTATTTCTGGCCTTTCAATTTCTACAATTGATTAGTTGCTTATCTTAAACACATACTTCAAATATCAACTCTACAGTTAATCCCTGCATTTAGCCTCCCCCCACCATTGTGTAGCATCCATCATAAAAAGCCATCTACTCAGTAAATATTAATGTGTTCAGTCACATTATATGACCCATATAGATACCTATATATAATACCATTTCATTCATAGATTTCTGTTTTATTTTCTAATAAATCTCTTGAATAATCTATATCTAATGTTGTATATATATCACCCACATATTTCAAAATGGCTTCTTCACTTCCAGTTTTAACAGGAAAACTCCAAAACTGTTAGAGATTCATCATTATGCCCATATGTATTTTTTTCCTCTGCTTTAAATTGTTGTTTAGTGATATTTGTCATTTTTTTTTTTTTGTCTTTTATTCTAGACGGAGACCTTATCACTATATTTGACAGTTCAGATCTTTCATTTGCCATTCAGTGCAGCAGGATTTTGAAACTCACTCTTTTTGGTAAGTAGGAAAAAAATGGGTTCTTTGCAGTTTACATAAATAGCACAATAGTTTATCTTAATTTTCCTCAAGTAATAGATGTAATATTTATTGGAAGCTCCTATCTTTATATCAATCATATAGTATTCTTCAGTCTTCACTACCGTTTTTGGTGACATATAATGCCCTCCATCTTCATAGAATAGCTGAAAAAATATCCCCTGGGTCTTATATGCATAGTTGAGGTATATGAGAGGGTATTGTTTACTCAGACAGCCTAGATTAATATTACTTGTACCATTACTCTATAATACAGTATCGTTAAATGCAAGATTACAGATTAGCAACATGTCATAATAAATCATTCCATCTTAAATAAATCAATAATTGTTTTAACATTAACTTGAATAATTTTAACACATCCAATATTATGGCTAAAAAAAATGATGAATTTTATATAGTGTTTTTTTTTTTTTTTTTGAGACTTAACACGAGCAAAACAAATTCATGGATTTGGACAAAAAAAAAGACAACAGAATGATGTCAAAATCCATAAAAATGTCATCCTTTAATAGTTGTACTTAGTTTAATTTGTAACAAATATAAAAGTAGGTAGAATAAAGCAAACATTGATAAGACAGAACAGGTCACAAACGTACTGTCCAGGGCCCACAGTCAGGTTTGCACCCCTCCCTCAAATCTATTTGGGGGTAGTACACACTGGGCCTGTGCACATGTATTATACTTGAGAATACATCTTTAACAAGCCATGAATGGGAGACAACTAAGTATATGCTGTTATACAGCATGTCCCAAATTTGTTCTCTTTTGAATGCATCAAGAACGTTGACATGGCATCTTCCAATCTACCACAGAAAATGTAACGACAAGGAATTGGGGATAATCAGCTTCTTGAAGCTTTCTTACCTGCAACAGTGTGCTGACTGCAGGGGTCAAGTCTTGGATTAAATCGGGATATACTGTATGTGTTCTAGCAAGACCTTCTTAACCTCCATCGTCCACAACAACACAATGCCTCCTCCCAGATCACCTGAGTTAAATCCTCTGGATGGAGACAAACCAACAGCACTGCAATATCAAGAACTCAGGAACTAAACAACAGTGTTATTTGTCAGAAGATGAAGTTTTGAAATCAAACTTACATCATACTAGTGTTTTTTCAAAAAGAATAAGTTGCTTTAAGAATTTACAGTAGAAAATACAAACACACATATATATATATATATATATATATATATATATATATATATATATATATATATATATATACACACATACTGAATTCCTGCTGAATATAAAATTTTTATTTTGTTTTTCAATTGAATCGTTGGTGCAATATATATATATATGGTTAAAAAAAGTGCAATTTAGATTTGCAAATTTTTTAAAGCCAATTGCACCTAGCGAGGATCAAACTAACTAATCAGTCATAACTGATCTAGCAAGACAAGTTTGCTAACCGTGTTCAATCCTCACTGATATATATATATATACTTAAATGGATAAATATAAATAAATGTATGTGTAAGTGTTTAGATACACTGCTCAATGCTAAATAACAGTTATTAAGTATATGATAATAAATATACATGATACCCCATGCTGACAGAATTTCATGCTTAATGCAATAATCAGTATCTGATAATTGCATCCGTGTTGTACTGTCGGCATGGGGTATTATGTATATTTATTAACATATATAATTTCATATTACTCTAAACATTATTATGTGGATAGACACCCTGTTTTTTAAACAGTGTGAATTATGTCTATTGGCCTGCACATTAAAGAGACTTAATAAAGAAAAATGTGGTCTTTAATATATATGTGTGTGTGTGTGTGTTATATATATATATATATATATATATATATATATATATATATATAAATAATAATAATGGACTCTCCTGTCGGTTTCGACGTATGAGGATCTGTCAGCTTATTGATTCAGTTATGAAAGTTTATGTGCTAATCTTAAGTGGCATTTAAGACCCGCTAGTGATTTACAAAGGAGGCCACATATGGAGCAAGTGTGAGGATTGTGAGATGAGATCACTGTTAAATTGGTTGACCTTTTAGATCTTGCTCTCGCTTCTTGAAGATGATTCAGACAAGCAGATTGAAAATTGCTGAGTCCACTAAAACACATTGATCTCCATTCTACCTGCTCCAAAGCTAAGCGCTCAAGGGTGTTATGTGGTATATTAACTGCTGACAAGTTGCTTTTCAGCTTGTCTTTGTATCTTAGCCATGGGCATCCTACATTCCTGTAGCCCTGATCTAACTGGCTGTACATTAGGATCTTGGTTATCCTGTCATCAGACATTCTCAAGACATGACCAGTCCACTGTAATTGAGACTGTATGATAAAAGTCTCGATTACTCCAATATTACACCTGTTAACCAGGTCTATGTTAGATGTCCTATCTTGAAGGTTAACTCCACAGATGGCATGCAGACAGCTTTTATGGAAAACATCTAGCTGGCGTATATGGTACCTGTATGGAGTCCATGACTCTGAGCCGTATAAAAGGATGGCAAGTACAACAGCTCTGTAAACCCGAATTTTCATATCCAGTCGAATACCCAACTCTTTCCACAAGCGATGGCGAAGTTTGCCGAAAGCACTGGTAGCCTTAGCAATCCAATGCATGATTTCATTATCCAAAGTTCCACTGTAGTTGACTTTGCTACCAAGATAGGTGAAAGACTTTACATAGTTCAGGGGTTTGTCTTCTACTCTCAATGGTCTCTCTGGAAATTTGTAGACTGATGGTTTTTGTTTCTCACCAAGCAATTGCTTCAGAGTAGGACAAGGTATATATATATATATTTATAAAACCAAAATAAATCAAGTTATCAGTAAAACATCAAAGAACAACCATGATAATACTAAGACTGTTGATGAAGAAAACCTAAAATGCCAAAAGAATATCCAAGGATAAAAAGACAGCCAATTACCAAGACAAAAATCAACTGTAACTTTGATCTTGTCAGCTAACAATTGCCATAGCATGAAGCACTGTTACAATTTGGATCAGTCCCTGGTCACTGTTCCTTTTAATTATTTTACACACAGTCATATATATATATATATATATATATATATATATATATATATATATATATATATATATATATATACTCTTAAGGTGTGTTATATTTATGGGATAAAAAGTACTCAATATCGGAGATAAAAAGACAAAAAAAAATAAAAAAGTGAACATTGAAGGTCAACACTTAGTCACCTCTAAGTGTTGACCTTCAATATTCACTTTATATATATATATATATATATATATATATATATGCAAATTATATTATTGATACAAGTTAACCAAAAAAAGTCATTGTCATTTTTGATTTACCAGAAAAAAAGGTATATAACAAATTTGACATACCGTTAATCCACAAAGTAATTCCCATTACCATCTTTCCTGAACAATTTACCAATGTGCCTCCAGCTGCACAATGCCCTGGCTGTAAAAATCAGGTGTCTTGGATGTAAGTCTGTCTCAAATGCAAAGGATTTCCCACAAAGGTGGTTATCCAGGGAATGGAAGAGGTGTTAATCTGTTGGCACAAGCTCTCAGGAGTAAGGTGGATAGCGCAGTAGTGTCTTCCAGTCAAATCACTATGTGGTATCTCTGATCACCTGAGAACTGGCATTGTCATGGAGGAAGACTACGCCCTTGTGATTAACCAATGCTGGCTCCTTCTGCTTCAGTGCCTGTTGCACACGTTCCAACTGCTGCGAGTACAGGTCTGCAGTGATGGTTTGGCCTGTTGGTAGCACCTCATAGTGCATCTCTTGTTGACTAGTCTACCAGATACAGAGTATGATCTTGCATGGATGTAGAGGTGGTCTTGTGTTGTGATGCACAGGGTCCCATGGTGACAGCCAGTGTCTAGCATGCTTCAGAATGTCATACAGGACCCACTCTTCATTAGTGGTGAGCACACAATCAAATATAGGTATGTTGCAGTGCCAAGAAACAGGCCATCACTTGTTGTTCTTTGTTGGCTTTCGACAGTATGTTGAGTACGCACTTGTTCATCTGTATGCCTTCCCTATCCAGTGCAGGTGAAGTCTACCTGGAAACATTCAGTAAACTCACCACAGGTTCAGCTGTTGTCCTCCTCTATGGCTGCCTTTAGGGCACCATCATCATCAAGGACCTGTGGTCAGCCACTGTGGGGTTCATCACAAAAGGTCAGATCTCATGACCTGAACTTTTAGAAGCAATGTCAATGAATCAAGGCTGTCTGATAACGATAACAGCTCATTAAATTTTTTTCTTGGGCAGATATAGAATTATTTAAAAAAAAAAAAAAATTCTTTTTTTCAGTTGAGAGACAACAAACTAAAATATATGGGAAAAAAATCGTAACTTTCAGTTACCTCCCCTAAATTGTATCTGTCTGAACTGATTTTCATTCAGTTTTTAATGATGATATTTTTGATAGGGATATGCAAACATTGAGGCTTTTTTTCTGTTTTAAACATAACATGGTCTAATAAGTTCTGTGGTTTGCAGAGTGCCTCCAAATATAAGTTATCAGTATCCATTCTGTTATAACTGGAGATCCACCTAGAACAATTTGTCTTGTAAAGTTCTTTCAGAGGTATATATCTGCCATTTTTAAATCTTTGAATTTCTAGTGGACATCTCAACTCTAAGTTAAAACTACCTCTTTTTTTTTTTTTTTTACTAGCAGTAGATATGCTTTCCTACTACCCTAGGCCTTTCCTTACCAAAATAACAAATCATGACCTCGCTAGCATTCAAACCCTTAACTTCTCAATCACACAATTATAGTTGATATCTTGAATGCATTTAACAGAGTTTGACATGTTTTCGTCTTCAACATAAGCTATGTATTTCTGGACAACTGTGTGATTTAATCCAATCATTCCTATCAAATTGTGAAATGAAAGTTGTTTTGAATGGGATCATGTCCAGATCCTTTCACATGAACATGGATGTCCCCCCAAGGTTCTATTCTGGGTTCTATGCTGTTTTTGATCTTCATCAATGATTTTCCTGATGTCATCAATTCCTGAGTAGGCATTTATGCTGATGATACTACCATTTACTCTTGTCCCAATAGTAAAGCCAACAAAGTTAACCTGGCCATTGCTCTTGAAAAGGCCCTCCAATCTGTGGTTAACAAGAAATGGCTCATAAATTTTAATGCCTCCAAAACAAAACTGCTGTCATTCAACCACTGAGAATCTTTCCTGCCTGCCATCAGCATGACGGATGCTAGAAAGCAACACACTGCGCCTTCTTGGCCTCACGTTTTTGAACTGACTTGAAGTGGAATGATTACATCGAATCAATAGCTGCATCTACTGCAAGGAAAGTTGGGTCAGTGTGTCATGCCAGAAGGTTTTTCTCATCAGAGTCCATTTTGCACATTTACAAATCTACCATTTGGTCTGGTGCTCCTGCCGCTCATCTCAAGATTCTTGACAAAATCCAAAGAAGGATCTGCAATGTAATCGATCCAGACTTGGTATCTCGTCTTCAGTCTCTTTCTCACTGACATAACATGGCTTCTCTATGACTTTTCTACAAATATTTTCATGGCAACAGCTCTGACAAGTATTTTCCCTTGGTGTCCAGTCTATGTAAGTTTAAGTGTGCTACTAGACTGGGATCTAGGTCTCACTTTTTTACTTTAACTGCCACTTCTGTTCCAACAGTTTTTTTTTCTCATACTTCCCGCCTGTGGAACTCTCTTCTATTTCCTTGCCTCCCTGATAACTACAATCTTCAAAAATTTAAATGCAATGTCAATCGCCATCTTGTATGTTCTTGAACCCCATTCAGCTTTTATCCTTTCCTCAGTTCCCCTTATCCAGTCTTTTCTCCCACCTTCACTCTCTGTAACTCCCCTGTGTACCGGTGACATTCCTACCTTGCTTGGGATGAAATGATTAAAAAAAAAAAATGCTCCCAACAGATGCATGGCCATTATTTAACAGGAAAAAAACATTTTTTTTATTTTTCAGTGATAAATGAAATAGTTCAAAATAGTTCAATAGTTCATCTACTGCATCCCTTTAAGGCATGGGCGAGCGATTTGTCCCCTTATTATCTTTCCTTTTCTGCCATCCATTTATACAAGGTTACTTGTGGTTTTCCTCTTGCCTTCAATATGTCTTGTGAGTGTCAAATTCTCCAAGCCCTCTTTCCTCATTCTGTGCATCAAAATTTTCAACTAAATGCAAGTGTTCTTTGTTGTTCGCATTTTCTTTAATCCTTTCTTGTTTAAAGACATGTTCTGTCCATTCTATACTCAGCATCCTTCTGTAGAACCATAGTTCAGTTTCCTCCAGTCTCCTTGTCATCTGTGGAGAAATGGTATGTGCTAGTGATTGGAAAAAATAAAAGGCAGCTTTATGTACAATTTTGAAATGTCTTCTTTTCCTAAAAACCCTGGAGTAATTGAAGATATTAAGTGCAAAATACAACAGATACACAAGAACAATTAGTGCCCTGTTTTGTATAATTTTGTAACTCTCTTCATCAGACCTTATGTTCAATGTTTAAACATTTTTTTTTTCTTTTTTTCTTTAGTAAACCGCACGACCAACAACTTAGACCATGATGAGGTTAAATATATTCGCCATGAACTCACCCACCTGAATGATCGTATAAGTCATTTGCTGGAAGATCTGCAGCATCCAGCAATAGAATCTGAACTTGTGGATGAAGGTCAGATATCACTCTGTATGTAGCCTTCACCTTGTTTTCCCTCTTCCAAATACCCCCCACCACCACATTTTGGATTTTTTTTTTTTAATTTTCAGCCTGTTAACCCTTTCTATACAAGCATACAGAATAATCCAAAAAAATGGAAGCACTTTTTATCAAGTGCTGAATGTTTGGGAATGAATAAACCAATGCTTTTATATTTTCCTTGTTTTTTTCTCTCTTAATTATGCAAATTTATTTGCATATGGATCAGTCCTTTTGCCTAAAATCAGTGTAGTACGTGTTAACATTGTGAAAAATGTTTATTGTCATTGCTTTTCATCAAAGGTGAATATTTGTAGAATTTTTTCCAGTCATAAAATGATCCCATAATTTTAGACTAGATGCACTTTGATACATCCTATAAGAAATTGAGCCCTACTGTTACATGTTAACTTACTACCCTTGGATTCATCAATATTCTCTTTGGATGAAAAGACTATGCCATTCATTAACAATAAATTCCTATGCTAATCTCAAAACCTTGAAATAGATTTACTGAGACTTGTCTTTAGTCGTAGGCAACTCTTCCTTCTCTTTTTTCCTGTTTTGCTTTTCTTTTTCCTTTCTTTTTGTTTTCCCTTATTTCCTTCTTCCTTTTTTTCCCTTCTTTCTCCTTTTTTCCTTTCTTTTCTTTTTTCCTTCATTTTCTTCTTTTTCCTTTTTCTTTCGTTTTTTCTTTTTCCTTTTCCTTTTCTATTTTCTTTTCCTTTTCCTTTTCTATTTTTGCTTTTCTTTCTTTCTCTCTTTTTGCTTTTCCTTTCTTTCTCTCTTTGCTTTTCCTTTCTTTCTCTCTTTTTTCTTCTTTCTTTTTCTCTCTCTTTCTTCTTTCTTTCTTTCTTTTTCTCTCTCTCTTTCTTCTTTCTTTCTTTTTCTCTCTCTCTTTCTTCTTTCTTTCTTTTTCTCTCTCTCTTTCTTCTTTCTTTCTTTTTCTCTCTCTCTTTCTTCTTTCTTTCTTTTTCTCTCTCTCTTTTTTCTTTCTTTTTTTCTCTCTCTCTTTCTTCTTTCTTTCTTTTTCTCTCTCTCTTTCTTTCTTTCTTTCTTTTTCTCTCTCTCTTTCTTCTTTCTTTCTTTCTTTTTCTCTCTCTCTTTCTTCTTTCTTTCTTTCTTTTTCTCTCTCTCTTTCTTCTTTCTTTTCTTACTTCTTTCTTTCAATCAGACTGATGCAAGAGACTAATTGGAGAAAAGCTGGGAGTAATATCAAATGGATTATTGTCTTATTTGAATTTCTTGAAAATTAAAGATATCTTTTTTCCCCTTTTTTTATTCGTATATAAGTTTCTAAAAGAGTAAACTATGTAAAAACATAAATGTCTATTTTTCTGTCTTAAAATGAATCTTAACAAACTTAAAATCTTAAAATTTGCTGTTCATTTTCTTACATTGAAAAGATTCACCATTTTGCATTTGCTTTTCAGATATGAAAGAAAGTTTGTCTGTCAGCGGTGGTCATAGTAAAGTATTTGATACGATGTCATCACAGTCAGATGTTGATGAAGACTCTCAGAAGAAAGTGCTCTCATCATTTGGCCTTTTACCAGAAGGTAAAACTCTCTTTGGAGCAATCACGTTTTGATGCTTTAACAGCTCTCCCTCCTTTTTAATTCATACTTTGGGTCAGATAGCTTGAAGTCTTGAATGGCGTTAATCCATTACTTTCTTTATCATCTATAGCTTCTTGGTGTGTGTGTGTGTATATATATATATATATATATATATATGATAAAGTGGAAATAGTTTATTTGTGAATTCTTGAACACATTACAAGTAACCTTTTTCCACTTTGTCATACAATTTTCTTGTTCTTGATATATAAGAATATATATTGTTATCTCATGTACATATATAAACATGTCTTATCTGACTCTATGTAGGCAGAGGTCACTGAAACATAAACTGGCACTCTTCAGTTAGTCTTTGTCTTGTTCTGGGCAATTTTATTTCCCTTTCCCCTACCCCTTGTTTCTTTTAATTCTTTTACAATGAGGTTTTGTTTCCTTTCACTATTTTCTCTTAATTCCAACAATTTTCCTTCTGACAATGCATTGGATGAAAGGTACCTAAAAATTTCTATTTTCAATCAAAACTGATTTTTTGATTAACAAAATGTTCCCTGTTTTAAGAATACTATTTAATTGGTGTGGTACTAACAAACTTTTCATGCATATATATATATATATATATATATATATATATATATATATATATATATATTTCTTTTCTCCTACTTAGTTCTTGCTTCCCTACAATCTTCAAAAATTTAAATGTAACACCAATCACCATTTTCTGTCATCCTGAATCATGTTCTTTTATTTACCTTTTCTCATTCAATTTCAACACCTGTAACGCCATTTGTCCTAATAGCATTATCGCCTTGCATAAGGTGAAATGAACAAATAAAGCTTGAACATATATATATATATATATATATATATCCAGGTAAACGGAGGCTGTATTCTGCTTTTAAATCTGAATAAATCATTCACTCGCCAGTAATTTAGAATCACCTGATGAGCTGCGTATCAACGCATCAAAACACGACTACAATTGTGTAACGATTTTGACATGTTTTTCGATGTAATATCCTGAAATAAAGTATATACAACATTATATAAAAGGAAGAGGTTATAGTGGTTCCAACAAGAGAAAAGTGTGTATATTAAAAAGAAGAGATACCGCAAACATCTTTGGTTGTAATATGGATTTTTTAAAAAAAATATTATGCTTTATTTTCCACAATTTTACTACACGTGTTTCTGGTCTCGCGACCGTCATCAGGAAAAGGGTGGAGATTTCCACATATTATTAAGAATAATTAATTTTTTTCTCCTATGAATGTTGTTTTGGGGAGTTTCCTTCTATAATGATGTCACAAACCCCACATCTTTTTTTGTTGCATTTTGTGACTCCCTGTATTGTGTGTTGGTTAAATTTAAATGAGGTTAATATGTGTTTTACGTTTTTAGTTTGGCATTTGCTTTTAATTATTTTGGTTGTTTTTAGTATATTTTTCAGTTTATTATTCTTGCTAAGTAGGTTTAGATTTTTTGGAATTTCTGTAAATAGTTCTGGATTGTTTTAGTTATATATATATATATATATATATATATATATATATATATATATATATATATTGCTGTAACCTAGAAAAGGTTACTGAATAAGAATAACCAAAATGAAGGCCAGAAATGGAATGGTAATCTTTATAACATTAACAACATACAAGATTTGCCAGCAGCATGTAGTACATAATCTACTACTAGTGGTGAACTAGTGGAGAATCACCCCCCACCCACCTGGACAGTATATTCCAATGTAATTATGAGGATTGGGACATACACATTATAGTCTATAGGTACCGTATAACATATATATATATAATATATATATATATATATATATATACACACACACACACACACTAGACAATATACCCTGAATTCTTATATAACAAAGTTAGGTGCTAGAAAGAATAGAATTTCAGATCTTCATTTCAAAATGGAAAAAAGAAGAAAAAAATTTTTAAACATGTGAATAAACATTTTGAAATTTGAGGAATTTGTAATATATTATTCGTTTTCTCTTTTTTTCTTTTCCAATCATCATAATAATAATAATATTCATTTTTTTTCATTCACTTTTTCCTTCTTCCCAACCATACTTTTCATTTTACCTTATTTTTTTACTTTTATTTCCCCCTTTTCTCTCCAATCATAATATTTTTTGTTTTCCCCTCATTCTTCTTCTTTCTTTCTCTTTCCAATTATTCAGTTTTCTCCTTCTTTTTTCTCTTACTGATCACACTTTCCTTCTTTTTTTTATTCTTTCATTTTTTTTCCTTCCCTGCACAGATTCAGTTGATAGCCGTAGAGATATCAATGCAGAAAACGGAAAAGAATTTGATCCTCTGTCTAATCAGTCTAGTGAGAAGATTCAAAACAATCTGATGGCCTCTTTTGCTTTGACCAATGATGGTAAGATTCCTTCCTTCATTTTTGTTTTGTTTTTAACAATTATCGTCATCAGTTGTAGTAGGAGATTGCTAAACATGAAATTCCCAATTTTCTTTCAAAATTTTAAAATTAATTCAGTTTGTTACAATAAATTTGTATTGAAATAAATAAATGTATAAACTGTGTGTCTACTCAAGTACGAGTATCCACTAAAAATAATGTTTAAAGTAATAAAAATCTGTCAGATTAATAAAAAATCTATTCTAATATAGTTTATTTATTAAACAGTATATTTATTTTCTTCTACGAGCTTGAAATTTTATTAAAGAAAAATTTACGCTGTCTGGCAGGATTTGAACCTGTATCCCTCTAGGCAGAGGGAGCTGTCATTAAATCTGATATGCTCTGACTGAGTTACAAAGAATCAATTAGGCAAGGCTGAATTGTACGTTTAAGCAAAAACTTCTCTTGTCATGTATCTGCAGTTTTGTATCCAAATGTAGTGAATTTTTTTGATATGAGAAGTTTTGCTTAAAGTTGCAATTTGAGCATTGCCTGACAAATTGGTTCTTTGTAATTCAGTTGAGGTCAGGAGTATATTGGATTTAAAGACAGCTCCCTCTACCCAGGGTGACACAGGTTCAAATCTTGACAGAGAGTGCATATTTTTTCTTTAATAAGATTTCTCAAATATTCAAGCTGGTAGACAAAAATAAATATACTGTTTAATAAATAAACTGCATGTCTACTCAAGTACGAGTATCCACTAAAAATAATAATTAAAATGATATTCAAACCTGACTCTCACAGGTTTAATTTTAATGCATTTGATTATTTGTGAGTTCATGAATAATTAAATGGGAAAATATTTGTTATTTTGTGTCCAACTGCAGAAAACCACAGATGAGGAATGTAAAGGAAGTAAAAATAAAAAATTTAGTAAGTAATAATATATAAAACGTTTGTGCAATTGAAAGATTTTTTTTTTCAGATGTTGTTGATAGCAAAACAGAGATCCATTGAAAACAAATAGATATACTTTTTAATTATGAAGTTAAAGTTAACATATTTTTTCCGAAAATGTAATGTATTCATTAAATTAACTACTTTTAATCATTTTTCTTAGAATTAATGTTTCTTTTTTGTTTTTTTTGTTTTTTGAAAATGTTTCTTTACAGTTACATTTAACTGTCAAATTTACTAATGGTGAAAGAGTTGATAGCAAAATGCTTAAATGTAAACACCAATTTCAAAGGCATTGTTGCTGTATAGTTCAAAAAAGAACAAAAACATATAATTCCTCTCTATTTGTTTCCTTTTTAATAATATAATAGCAGTTTCTATTTTTTTTGTGTGGGGTTTGGAAGTATTTGTGTTTTTTTTTTCTGTTTTCATGGACAGCTTGTACCTAGACCCCTGCAAATATAGAAAACTAGTTCTGTCTGTTTCTCTCTCTCTCTCTCTCTTATATATATATATATATATATATAATGAAAATTAATGATGAATAGTTTATGAAGCATTTTGTCCATTAAAACTTCATCAGACTTAAATGATGTTTATGTTGATGTAACTATATATATATATATATATATATATATATAACACATTGTTTAGGTTGATGCAACTACATGTGTACAAAGCAGAGAGGATGCTGAAATTGTAAACTTTTAAATTCATTTTTTTTTTTTATGTGTTTGGGTATAGCCTAGCCAATTTCATTTACTTTATTCTTCATATATATATATATATATATATATATATATATATATATATATATATATATATATAATCTCACATTGAGTACTGATGCTAATAAAAGAGTGCTCAATGTAGGGCAACAAAGCTATAATTTATATATTAATAATAAATATACTTCCCCCCCCCATACTGTAGCACAACATTGAGTTTCATGCACAATACAATCTTCAGTTGCTGATTAATTGTGCTACCAGTGGGGTGGGGGTATAGGATGTATTGTTTTTTTATCATTATTATTATTATTATGGTTTTCTCTGAAGAAAAAAGTATTCCCCTTTTCTTTCTGAAATCTTTTTTTAAAGCTTGTCCAACAACTCCATATCATTCGATGTAAGTTTTGTATTTTAACCTTTTGAAAACATTTGCTTACCTTTTCAGCTTCAGTATCTGTCTATATTTCTGAGATGAGGTATTATGTACATTATTTACATTATTCGGACTATTGTCCTCATCTTTGTCGCCATATTTATTACAACGTTTCGGCTGTTGTATGCTCCGACCTTCTTCAGGTGGTTGGAATGTTGAACTTAACCCTTTATTTCACTCACTGGAGTAGACTGTTCTAGTTTCACATGCCATGTTTAATGAATGTCAATTATCAGTTATCTCCTGTTAATTTCCCTCTGAAAGTTCTCCACTGCCTTAACTGGGTATTGAACTCACACTGTTTGGGTCCTATCACTGGTTCTAACTAACGCCTTTATCCATGTGTCCTCAATGGAATAGTGGATAAAGGCATTAGTTAAACATGGCACGTGGAACTAGAACAGTGAGCGAAATAAAGGGTTCAGTTTGACATTCCATTTGTGTTTGAAGAAGGCCGGAGTGTACAACAGCCAAAACATAATAAATATGGCAACAAAGATGAGGACAATAGTCCGAATAATATCAATAATGTACTTTTCAGCTTCACATCATACTTATGCATGTTTTTTTTTCCTTCTCTAAGATGCTTTCATGGGCTTCTAAAATCTTTGCATAGTACTTTCCTGATTAAGACAGAAATGCTGGGTCAATGCTTGACTTAGTTTTGAACCTAAAAATATGTTCATATTTTGTAAGCTAGTAAAATGTTAACAAGTTCTAGTGAATGGAAGATGAAGAATTTTCTTATTTATTGTTTTACACAATTGGGAAATTTTTTTTCTTTTACACAATTATATTGGCCAATTTTTTCTTTTTTTCTTAACACAATTGGGTAATGTTTTTTTCTTTACCTAAATGTGCAATTTTTTTTTCTTTACACAATTATATTGGGCAATTTCTGTTTTTTTTTTCTTTACACAATTGGGCAATTTTTTCAGCTTTACTTTTATGAGTTTTTTTTTCCAGGCTTGCTGGTTTAGAGCAATAAAAAATTCAATTACTGGGGGGGTCACAATGAATAGATGAATGCAGTTCTGTTAGTATCTTTTGGCTTTTAAATTACCATTTGCTGATCATGTGTGAAAAACAGTTTAATTTAGAATACCATTTCCTGATAAGCCAATTCAACTAAATGATATTAATGGTCCCCAATGAGGCTTACCTTATTTTCATTTACAAAAATGAATCTATGAATCCAACAGCTGAATTTTGATCTGAAATTTTCACTGTATAATGTTCAAACTTTGGGATTCTCATTTATATCTGAATTATGTTGGAAAATATGTTTTTTTTTTTTCTTTTTTACCACGCGATTAAACTAAATAATGTTTGATGTATCTACATATGTCGTTTAGGCTAAAACCATCTTTATCTTTTTTTAAGCAAAATTAACATTGAATATCGATAAAAAAAAAAATAACATATATATTGGTTTTGAAATCTCTTAGTTAAATTCAGGTTTTGCAAAATTTAATTCCCAGATTTGATGAGATCTATAGAATACTCTTTTCTTTTTAAATCACTCCACCTCCCAGATATGCAGATGAGCTCCTTTAAGTTAATATTTAACATTTACTATTATAAAGAAGCAGTATCTCTTAAATATTACTTGATGAAATGAATATCATACTTTTCTTCACACTTGGCCTTGTGCCAGACATAAGTCTAATTCTATAATAGGGAGTTTTCTTTTTTATCTTTGATCATCTACCTGGCATATTATGGCTTTGCCAAATCTCATTTCATTTTGGGTTCATTTATTTTAATATGGATAATTTTAACTTAGTCTGGAACAAGGCCAAATAAAATAGGAGATAGATTGTGTTGCACTGATTTTCTTGTGGAGAACTCAACATTTGAAATCTTGACTCATTGACCTTTAAAGCTGATGATAAACATGCAATTATCTCTTTTATGATGACCTTTGATGAAAACTAAAAACTTACATTGTTTTTGATTCAGATTCAAATTTCCACCTGTTATTAATCTCTTTACACTGATGACATTTAAAAAAAACTATTATTATTATGAGCCAAATCCACTTCTTACAAACATTTCTTTTAATAATAATTTTCAAATAATACAACAATGTTGTTTTATTTATTGTAAGAGGATTTTTGGCGATTGCCTTACTTGGTTTCTGTCATTCAATACTAAAAATGGTACAGTTATTGTATTTGCCATAGCTTCTTAGCATAACTTGGAGTCTAAACTCTGAGAACCCAGTCTTCCATGTTATCTAACAGATAATTGGAGCATTTGCTGTTGAATTCTTGGGGCTTTAAATATTTCTTCTTGAATTCTTGGATCCTTAAATATTTCTTCTTGAATTCTTGGGGCCTTAAATATTTCTTCTTGAATTCTTGGGGCTTTAAATATTTCTTCTTGGATTCTTGGGGCTTTAAATATTTCTTCTTGAATTCTTTGTGTGTGGACAAGATGCCAAATGCACTTTTACTGAAGCCAAGAAGCTGAACAGACAGGCAGGACAAAAACATCTCTACGTATGTAGATTAATGACTAATTCACCAATTACAACTTCTTTTTTTAATTGTTTTTTTTTTTAAATTATTGTATCACCATAGATTGAGCATGGAATTCCCTAATACCATGCATGGTGGCAGAAAATTCCTTCTCAATGGACAGACATACATTTTAGATAAAAAAAAAAGTGAAGGGAAACCACATATTGAACATGTGAGAAACAAAAAGTGGACAATGCTAGAATTAGAACTCTAAGCAATACAGAACATGGAAATGTTTCCGATCATTCGCATCCACCAGACTGTACTTATAATGGCATTTTAAAAGATTTGGATAAAAAGTGAGTTTTATGTCTCTATTTTTTTTAATTTTTTACTCTGTCAAATGGTCATATTATAGGAATAAAATTATTATTATATATTTTAATTTTCATTTTTTTTTTTTTTGGCATTGTGTCTGTTCGGCTTCTTGCCTTACAGTAAAAGTGCTTTCAGTATTCCGTCCGTGTAACAAATTCTTGGGCTGTTGATTGCCCAAGAGACAGATGGCCTACTGGATTAAAGTGTTGGTAAGAACATATCAAGTCCCCTGGTAGATCTGAGTTCAATCTCTGGGTCTGGCATCGTTGAAAAGCCATATACGCTGATTTGGTAGAAAAATAAGAGTAGGCGAGTACCAACTGAATATACTGTCCTGGGTATGGCGATAAACTACGTCCAACAGCAAGGCCTTTGATCAGGAGGATTTGAGGAGCATGGAACCACCTCTTAATTTCTGCTGTTCTAGGTCCACCCTGACCTGGGGTGGTAGCACCTGTTAGGGTCCCAGCTATGGGCAATAGTTAACCCTGAAACTGAGGTAAAAAGCATTATAAAAGTGTAAAAATAGGTTTTAATACCAGAAATACTTTGTAAAAAAATTATTACCAGAAATAAATTTTTGAAAGAAAAATATTACCAGCAATACATTTTTTAAAATAATATTACCAGCTATACATTTTTGAGGAAAAAAATATTACCAGAAATAGATTTTTGACAAAACAAAAATATTACCAGGAAAAAAAAAAGTTGTCGGCATTAAATGACCCATTGAGGTTGATATGCCGTAAAACAAAACAAACAAACTGAATATACCCTAAGCATGATTTGAATAAAAGGGTTCAGCTTGAAATTCCAAGAAGCCTACAGGGTAAGGCAGCATATGACGAGCATATTTGTCCAAATAGCAAAGGATATTATGATTGCTGTTGTTATATCCTTTGCATCATCATCATCATCATCATCACTGAAATGAAGTTTGATTTTTTTTCTCCAAAAGAAACCCTTAATGAATGTCTTTATTGCTGCCAACCTTGGGGGGGGGGTCAGATTTCTCTTCACCTCTTCTTCAACATCTTCATTATTATTATCCATTTCTTCTTATCTTACAGACTTCTTAAAGAAAAACAAAAAATGACACCCCTGACTTAGGTATAAAAAGCAATATCAATTCAATTTTAATTTATAAACATTTAATCATTTGATTAAACTCGTTCTTAAGATTTGGATTTGTTTTTTTTTTTAATCTCTATTTTCAGGTCTCTTCTCCTCTGGATCTGGTCTCTAATCAATATTTTCATTTTACTCTTCCAACTCTTATATAACAAAAGGTACACATCAACAGCATGTAACAATTGCACTGACCACTTCCTTTTAAACTAAAAATGTTTCCACCATTGTTTGAAAAAAAAAAAAGACTTTCACATTTATGATGTACTTGTAGATTTGGCAAACGCCCTTGCTTTTGCAAATTAAGAAAGTTTCATTTTTAATTTAATTCAATGTTTATATAATTATACTCGGTAATATCCTCATCTTTGTTGTTTTGATTAGTGTCTTGACTGATGTATTCTTCAACCCCTTCCCTAGCAGTCCTTGAGTATCACCCAGGATTCCTATGTCTTTGTCAATGGGAACACAGGTTGTAAATGTTCTACATCCAAGAAAAAAATTCCATGCAAGGCTAGGGAGGGGGTGACTGACTAAAATGTTTGCTATTTTTTTATATGGAAGGCATTAGCAACTAAATATTGTTCTCTTGAGCAAAAAATCCTATGTCAAATTTACTTGTATATTCTGGTTACTTATTCTCTTTTCAACAAATTCGTATCTGCCACTTCCTTCAACGTAGACGTGTGGTTTTCAAGCAACATCTAACAACACAATTGATGTGTCATAGCTGTGTGTGTTGCAAGACGCTAAAAAAAGCAAGGAATAAGAAACCAAATATTAAGGACAGAGACACTTGTCAGGAAAAAAAAATTTTTCCATCAAAGATAATAGTATAACATGTAGTATAATCTATCAAAGCTAATATTAATAATAAATTTTGTTGAGTGTTCATTGGCTGATTTTGATACAGAGGGTCTCGAGAATTTGAAGACTCAACAAAATTTATTACAAATATAGCAACAATGCACTAAAGTGCATATAACATTTAATGCCATTTTACATTTCTATCCATTTCCAGTCAGCTCCTTTATGTTGAAATGCTTGTCTTGTAAAAAATTCTATAACTACAACGGATAAATTAAAGTAATTACAGAGCATGCGTGTGTTTTTAAAATCACCATCACAACAGAATGCAGGTTTTATAGCAGTTACAATAAGTTTGTTTTTGTAATTTACCCTGGAAGATGATCTTGGAAAAGATCAAAAGTACTTGGATTAAAAAATGTATGGTGTCTTCCTTCATGAATTTCATGTTAACATCACGAAAATGATTAGACAATTTGAAAGGATCAGTATAAAAATAAGTAGACACAATATGTCTATATTATTCAATGAAACACACACACACACACACACACACACACACATATATATATAGTACAAAACAAATAAATGGATGCATCCATAGAAATAATGATGAACAAAATATAAAGCTTATTCCATTTGTATTTACATTTATTAACATGCCTAAGCATTGTTCTGACATCGAGAAAGGCCAAGTCGCCACTTTTTATGATAGGCCAATAGACATAATAAAAAGTACACTATTTACATTATTCAAACTATTGTCCTCATCTTTGTTGCCATATTTATCACAACATTTTGGCCATTGTATGCTCTGGCCTTCTTCAGGTGGTTGGAATGTCGAACTGAACCCTTTATTTCGCTCACTGGGGAAGACTGTTCTAGTTCCACGTGCCATGTTTAATGGATGTCAGTTATCAGTTATCTCCTGTTAATTCCCCTCTCCAAGTTCTCCTCTGCCTTAACAAGGTATGGTGGTTTTCCCCTACAAGAGGAACAGACGTTTGAAACCTTCCAAAACTTACATTTTCTTTATTAAGACTTTCAAATGCACAAGCCAGTAGACATACATTTATATTGTTTAAAAAAAAAATGGGGCTATGTATGTAAACATGCGTATCCACTAAATGTAACGCTTAAAAATATCTATAATATTGTCACGTTTCTCAAACTGCACCAATACCACCCCTGATCCCAAGCAAATGTGTCATTTCATATATAAACAATCTATTATTTTTTATAATGAAGCTATATAATCTTCCATCTGTCCTTCCAAATTTTCTGGCATTGTTACCATTCTGTTGCTGAATCTGCAGAAACAATACCTCTAGTTTTATTTGCTTTTTTCATTCTCCCTTGGCCTAAATAGTTCTTGCTAGCAAAATTTTTTAAAAATTGAACGTTTGAACTGCTCACCGACACCAACATGCACTGTAGCTTTGTAATTATCTTCCATCCACAGCCCAAGCTGAGAAGATAAGCCCCACTGCTTCCTCTTCTCCTGCACAAATTACCGAGGGTCGTGGAGGAAGTCCTGATAGTATAACCAGTATTGGTTCTTCGGTAGCCAGTCGCAATTCCCACCTTCAGCCAGCAGCACCTCACATGTCACCGTACCATGCCCCTTCAAGTCCAGCTCGTTTGCAGTCTAGCCCTCATGGACAATCCCCAAGGCAAGTGAATACATCTCCAGTAGTGCAAGGAAATCATTCCCCGCATATTTCCCAGCAGCCACAACCTGGTGTTCCAGAACAGATTAGTCACCAGATGGGCTTCTCTGGACTGCAGACACAGCCCAGGCCCCTATACCCAGGACAGGCACCACACCCTGGTAAGTAATCCTTTCTATATTTGTTTCTTTGTTTTTTTTTTTTTCCTTTCCAATTATACTCAACTGAAATATGGCTTATATTTTAGGATCTCGTCTTATCTAAGGAAAAGGTAACAAAATGAAATTTCTCTTCTGTGGTCCACTGCTCCTGCTGTATATTTAGAGATTCTTAATAAAATACAAAGAAGCATCTGCAATGTTATTGCTCCTGACTTGGCATCTCAGCTTCAGTCCCTTTTCCACCACCATAATGTAACTTCCCTGTGCCTTTTCTATAAATACTTTCCTCTATGGTACCTAGACTTTATGAATTTAAGAACAGTACTAGATTAGCAAACAAAGTCTCCTCAATTTCTTCTCTCACCCTTCTCATTTGTGGATCTCTCTACCAGCTTCATACTTTCCAGCCAACTATGATCTTCAAAAGTTTAAATACAATGTCAATCGTTATCTACTGTCTTCTTGATTAGCTATCTTTTTTCTCACTCCTTAATAATGTTTCTCTTTTTTTCTTATTCTTTCAAACCCTTGTACCTTAGTGGCCTTACTTGGGGTGAAATGATTAAAAAAAAAAAAAAAAAAACGACAGTATATTAGAAGAGTGCATTATTTATATTCAAGCTAATCTCCTCATCTTTATTGTTATTATACCATTTTAACCAATGTGCCCTCTGACCTTCTACAACTGTCTGATTCAATTTAGGTAACCTTCAGGGAATTTCAAACTCAACCCATTATTTTATATCTGTCTATATATCTGTGACGAGGTATTATGATTACTTGCATGGACACATAGCCCAGTGGATAAAAACGTTGGTTAGATCCAGTGACTAGACCCCAAAAGTTGTGAGTTCAATACCAGGCCACAGCAGTGGTGAACCAAAACCTGGAGAGTTGAGTTAAAGGGAAATAACTGAGACATCCAGAAGAGGCATGGCATGTGGAACTAGAACAATCTACCCTGGTGAACGAAATAAAGGGTTCAGTTCGAAACGTTGTGAATATGGCAATGAAGATGATGATAACAGTCTAAATAATGTAAATAATGCAAGTAACCATCATTTAATATCTGGAGTTAGATTGTTCTTGTTCCACCGTCTGTGTCTGCGGATATTTTTTGTCCTGTTTCCACTGAGTCTAGGGATTGAACTCACAACTACTACTTATATATTGACACAGTTTGCTCTATTTATCAACATACCTAAGTCCTAACATGTAATCGTTTTACGGTGAGATCTCTTTATCGATATATACCTGTCTTGATATTATTATTGATGTGTGTGTGTATTTTCTTTCCACATGTTAATCCTTTTTGTTAGTTGGTGTACAGAATATTTTAATTTCTTCAATTGACTTCTGACAAGTGAGGACAGATGACTCGTTGGTTCATTCTATAGGACTTCTGGGTTTTTTTTTTGTTTTTCGCTTTTCATTTATTTTATTTTCGTATTGCTCATTGCTGTAGTTGAAGTTTTTCTCTTGCGCATTTTTTATTATGACTGTTTTTATTGCATTAATTAAATTCTGATATGAAATATTTTCCATCTATTCAAAAATTAATCTGTCCTGAGTAAGACTATAATCTACATCCAAAACAAGGCCTCAGGAGGTTTTGAGGAGCGTGGAACCACCTCTTAATTGCTGGTGCTTCCAGGTCCACCCAGACCCAAAGTGGTAGCACCTGTTAGGATCCCAGCTATGAGCAAATAATTAATCTCTAAACTGGGGTCAAAATGCTATGAAAGTGAAAAAATAGGTTTTAATACCAGCAATAGATTTTTGCAAAAAAATATTGCCAGCAATGCATTTTGGGAAAAAAATATTAGCCACAGTAAAAATCTTGTCGGCATTAAATAACCTATTGAGGTTGATATGCTGTAAACCAAACCAAAAATTAATTTGAACAGATTTTTCTTTATCTTATTGTGGCTATTTTCAGATGAAGTTTGATTTTTCTATAGATATATCCGTGTCACTATATTATTGATCTGTGTGTATTTCTTTCCTAAGATTGCTCTTTTTTCAACTGATGTACACTATATTTCCTTGATCAAAAGCCCTAACAAAGATTTCCACTTGTTCCTTTTTAAATGATGATCGTTTTTATTGCATTAATTAAATTTTGTACCTTTTAATAAGGTCTTTAAATTTTAAATCTTCTTGTAAATTGGGAAACTTTTTATGGACATAACAGGCCACAAATATATAAAAAAAAGCATTTTTTCTTTTTCTCTTCCAGGTTATGCTCAACATTCCTTTCCAGGCCAACAGTTTAACCAACCACCCCCCCCTGATCCTGGATCTCAGGAGAGTTTCAACCCTGCATTTCACCCAGGAACTAATTATTCATATTCAGCAAGTATGCAACAACAGCAACCACCTTCATCAAATCAACCATACAGTACTTATCAACAGGTAATCAGTCTCATCTTGTATTTGCTTTTTGTACATGGTTTATTTATTATATGTGATTGATAAACAAATAAATCCAAAATTATCTCATATGGGAAATACCCTATTTCAGCAGACGATGATACCAGTTGTCTGTCTTATCAACCCCAGTTTATATATATATATATATAATCATAATACCATTTCTTTTTTTTTTCTGGCTACATTATTTTTATAATAATAAAAAAAAAAGTGATATTGTGACTAAAGAAATTTACTTGGTTTTAAGATAAGCTGACTGACTTAACTGAACGAGATCCTTTATACTCACCGGCCATTGGTGTGTGTATAAAGAACAAGGGGGATTTGGGGGAGTTTTGTTTTTGTAATCTTATATGTGAGGAAATCGATATTTAAATAATTTTAATCTTCACAAGGTGACCTACTAAAATGTTCAGTAACTATGTAGATATCTACATTGTGGCTACTATAGGACCATGACTTATTAAAAGAGAAAAAATGATACTTTAAGAAAATTTTTTTTTTTTTTTGCACAGACACACATTTTATATATTTAAAATTTGGGTATTTAGGTAGCAATCCTTCTTTCATGGACATTTCATTGAATACCACAGATGAGGTGTTTTTATTTAGTTTTTTATACAATTTCTCATGTGATCTAATAATTTTTTTTCTTTTCAGATGATAAATTATATAAAAACTGTCCGAATGTTCTTTTTATCCAAGTGCTTTCGGTTATACATTTAGCCATTGTAAAGGATTAAATATTTTAACTGTTAAATAAGAAATAGTTTGATGCATGTATGTTTTGTAAAATGTTTTCATTTTTTTCAAAACATGATCAAGATATTGTATCCATGTTCCTAATTAATATATATATTTTCTTTGCTTGTAGGTATCTTAAACTGGAGTGGCTAATACAAGATGACCTTCTGTTGTCGACTTTGGGCAGAATCAAGGTACAATGACAGCAATAGCCTTCTTTCTCCTCAGCAGACGCCAATGTTCCTGTCATATGTGAAGCATTTAAACCATGAAAGTGACAAAATCATTTAATGCAGTTTCAGGGATGAATGAAGTGGGGAGGGAAAGAGCTGGGTTATTAGGTTTCTTTTATTAACAATAGAAATATTATTTTAAATCAAGCTATCCTTTATATATTTTGTGCTAATTTGGAAATTTTTTCTTTAGATTTTATTTTTTCGTATGGATCATATTAATTAACAGATAATAAAGTGGAGGTTAATTTCTTATTTATGGTTGGTTGCAAATCCATTACTCAATTCTTACAATGCAAACATCAAATTACATTGAGGATACAAAGAAGGAATAATTTTTTGTTTATCTCTTTTTTGTATCATCTATTTTGTTGCATTTGGTTTAAAAAAAAAAAAAAAAAAAGCTGAAGCAATTAACCTTGTCTGAAATTCTTTTGTCCTATTTCCTGCAGTTGATCTGCTGTTTGACTAAAACGCTAAAAAAAAATCTATTTTTATGGGAAGAAAAGAAAAAAAATCAGTACCAATTTTCATAGTGGGCAATTTTCAATTTTTTTTTTTGCTTCCATATTTGATGTCTGAAATGCTAAGACAGTCCACAAGTGGTTCAAAGCAATATTATCCTGCTTGTTAATGTCATCTCTCTTTTGTGGCCGAGTCATTTGATCAAAATATAAAACCAATCTGAACAACTCCTTGAAGGAAATTTAAAATTTCTTTAAATATTTTTTTCAAATTTAAGTCACTTCAAAAATAATGTCTCCTATTTCATTATGCTGATTCACAATATCAGAGATGGGGGTTGGTGGTGTGGTGGAGGCTGGACCTTCCCACTCACTAACCTATAATTTAAAAAAAAAATTTTTTGACTTGTTACAAATACTAGCAGCGTTGTACATTTGAATTTGTCAATGCCAAAAACATTGCACTAATTGGTATTCATCAATGTGTGCTGATTGCTTCTGGAGAACAAACATTGAATGTGAGCAGAGTTATGTGGTGAAGTGAGAGCAATGTGTGTTATAAGGCACATTTTAGGCAGCTGGACACAAATGCCAACTCATGAGTACCGTGGACTATGACTGGGAAAAATATTAGTGTCCTAATTTACTCTGACCAACAGTATTTTTGTGCTCCCAGTTTCTCTTGTAGTTTCCATCCAAATTTGTTAGTTTTCATGGAAGAAAAGTTAAATTAACTAATAGTACCCAGGAAAATTTCATGGTTTTTCCTAATTTAAATTCTAATTTTTAAGTTAATGATTGAATAAGTTCCTTACGAGTTCTACAACTATAAAATACACATGGATAATTCCGTTATTGCATCGTTAAATATTTGAGCTCAACAACTTGAACAAAATATTGCAATAACAATCAGAAGTCTGAATGCAGGTCATTATTCGAAGAAGTAAGAGGGTACAAATGAAAAGATTTAAAAACTTGACAAAGTTTTGCATTTCACAGAAGCAGATGTTGAACAAATGAAATGCATTTGTTCCTTTTCTTTTGCTCACTAAAACCAAACAGCACTTCTGGTTTATCTTTTTCTTTCATTGCAATCAAAATGGATGTATATTTATCTGAAGTAACAGCAGGGTGTAACATAACTAAGGAACAAGCAGAATTATAATCTAATATTTAAATGGTAAAATTATAAAATAATGGGATGTGAGTGTAAAAATGTGAAATTATTTCTAGAGCATAAAAAGCCTAAGTTTGTTGGTAGTTGTTTTTTAAGGAGCCTTTTGCAATATACCATTTGAAGATTGCTTTGGGGGGAGTAACACATCTTGTCTCAGACCAAATGGAGGACTTTTCACATGATTTACATGAGTATTAACAAAAGTGACTTAACATTCACTAAGCATTTCATATTGCTCTTGGTTTTTTGATTTGTCCTTGCCATTTTTATTTTAAGGCAAATACCAACTTCTCAGCAAGCAGAAGATTTATAGGTACCATCAAAAATTCAGTTAAAAATAAAAAACAATTTTATCAAAATCTTTGTGTTATTATTAAGGAGAAAGATAAAAGGATTTCTTTTTTGTACATGTAAACACAAATTTATACAGGAAATTTAAGCATCTTTTTTTGTAAAGAAAAACACATTGATTTGGAAATTCTTGCAAAAATCAAATGTCAGATTTTAATGAAACTTTCAGAAATTAATAAAATTATTTTGCATTTTTTTTTTTTTTTTTAATCTGTTAGCCTTTCCTCTACTCATTACCAAATGTTTGTCTCTTCCCTTAATGTTAGCTGACTTTTAATCAACTGTGATTGCTAAGTGTTATTAAAGAAAGTTAACTTATGTGATCCAGTTGCAGGTTTCTGGCCAAGTGTAATCAGAAACCAACAAATAATTAAAAGTATTAAAAAAAAAAAAAGAAATTGCCTACTGGATCACAGTTTAAAGTAAGCAGTACACTTTCAAATCTGATATTCAAAGGCATGTTTTATGCAGCCAGAGGGAGGAAACACACACAAGCAAGGTTACCCAGCACTGCTCAGGTTTTCATTAAAAAAAAAAAAAAAAAACAACAACACAACGCTACATAAGAGGCCATATGTACTTTTGAAATCAACTGATTGCAAACATTTCTAAGTTGAATATCTAAAATCTTCACAGTAAAGCTTTGGTTAGATTAAAAATGTCTCTCCTTCCCCATAACCCAGCAAAAAAAAATAATCTATATTTGCTGAATAATTTTAAGCTTTTTGAAAACAAATTTGTGTCAATAAAAAAATGAATAAAAATGTATAAAAAATTTTTTTTTAAATTTAAAACAAAAAGACATCTACATTTAAACTGGAGAATGTTTTTCCTCATGGTGGGGAGGATCATTTTTATTTTTTATTGTTTCTTCTTAAACACATCCATCTCAAACAGATATTAGATTTTTTTAGTAAGAAAGTCCTAAGCTGATTCTCCTGACTTGTAAACATGAAGTTAGAATGAAAATCACTAAAGATCCCCCCCATTATTCTCTGCGTCTTAGTGGCCTTATTGCCTTGCTTGATGTGAAATGATTTAAAAAAAAAAAAAAAAAAAAAAATTAAATTAACCAAGGTTTCAATTTTGTAGAAATAGAGAAAATCTTAAATCATTATAAATGCAAACTGATTTTAGGGATTTCTTTTTTCTTCTTTTTTGCAATAAGTTTCTAGCTGATTTCTAATCAGTTACAAGCTGTACAGGTATCACAGAACATTTTGTAAAATAAAGGTTTTTGTTTTAATAATCATTGCCCTACAGCCTTATCTATGTATCTATAGAGATATGGGATCCTAATTTGCCTCCTATAACTCAACAATTAATAACATTGTAACATTGCATTTAAAATAAAATATGGTCCTTTTTGAATAATTTTTTTTTTCATTTGTTCCTGGACAATTATAAAATAAAAAAAATTGTAACAAAAATAATCTGAAACATTGATTTTTTTTTTTTTTTTTTCTATAATACCAATTTAATAATTCAATATTTTCAAAAGGTGTATCACTATAGGATTTTCTTTAAAAACTTTGTATATTTATTTATTAAAAGACAAAGATATTGAGAAAATATTCCCTGGAACTTTTCTTAAATTAATTAAAAAAAAATATTACATGGCTGTTGTTGAGATATCATTATTAACTATGGGAGCACAGACTTGTAATCATTTCACTGGAATATTTTTAATTGTCTTCCTTGTAAAAACACTTTTCTAATTGCTCCAATACTTCACTTGGGTGTAACTTTTTTTTTTTTTTTTTTTTTAAATAAAATAGTTTGCTTCCTAAATTTTTTCAATGGAGATTTTATTTAAATATCATAAAAATCATTTTCTCCAAAAATATTTATTATTTGAGACCAAAAAATAGGAAATTTGAGATTTTCTTACATTCATTATAACCAACATTGTGTGACAGAATTAACCTTTTAAAAGTAATAATTGTTCTATTTAAAAAAAAAAAAAAAAATCTTGATTTTCAACAGAAAATATAAATACAGAAAAATAATTCCTTTACAAAAAATGTGATACTGACTTTTATTACAGGCCACCATACTTACAAAGAGAAGCATATTCAGTCTAGAAATGTCAACATGAATTTGTGTTCCTATCAATTACGCATGATGGCTGAACGACTGATGTTATAAAAAATACATTTTTTGAATATTTTAAAAGAAAATTTCTTTTAGTTAAATGGAGTAAGGATTAAAGTAACTATTTCTCATAAAATCATCTTCACATTACAACATTTTTAGTCAATATAGATTTTTATTTGTTTACAATATCAATAATCTATCAATCAAGTGGCCATTAGAATTTTTACTGAATCAAGGGAAAATTTTGACTTCATAGCCGTTTAATTCAACTTTTATTAAATTTTTTTTTTTTTTCTTTGCAAGATGAAAATTTGGGTTTTTATATTTGTTGTGAAAGTAAGCAAAATTTTAAAAAGTATATTATTATAAATTTTTAATTTGACATTTTTTTGGCAGGATATGAGAATTTTATTGGAGATATCTATATAAAAAAAAAAAAAAATAATCTAAGCCAAACCAACAATTGTAATTTTTGGGGGATGTGGAGTTATTTATATTCAAACTAATGTCTTCATCTTTGTTATTGTCACAATGTTCCGACTATCTATCAATCTGGCTAACCATCAGGGTATTTCAAACTGAACCCTTCATTCAGTTTACAAGAGTAAATTGTCCTTATCCTGTTGTCCCTGTCTAAGGATATCCCCCACCCCAACGTTTTTTTCCCCCAATTCTGCTCACTTATTGTTAGGTTCAGTTCCAGCCACAAACAATTACTGTCAGCAAATTAAGAAAACCTTTCATCATCTAAGTCTATTGTCTCAATTTGGTGACAGTAATTTCAAGTTCAAATCCTAGCCTGGGTAGTACAATCTCAAACTCAATGGAACTACTATATTAAGTCATTTATTGTTCAGCTACTGTCACTTTTTAGAACCACCAATACCTCAGTGGGATAGGGGGGAGGGGGGAGTGAACAAGACCCAATGTCTTTAGACATGGTCAGCAAAACAAGATCAATCAAAATTCCCTGAGGGTTATCCAGATTGATGGACACATGAAGAAGGCTGAAGAACACACTGAAACATTGTAACCATAAAACTTATCTGAGGAAGGTCATATTTGCCTTGAAAGACAAATCACTCAGCAATAAAAAAAAAAATTTGCAACCCTTTTTTGTCCAATAATTGCACTAAAAGGTGAAATTAGCTTAAGAGCTTTTTATACTGGCTTTTTTCTTTTTGACAGTCATTTTCAACCTGTCAACTTCTTCAGGATTTTCTTTTTTTTTATTAAATAAATTAGATAAATAAAACTAACGAAAGTTATAAGATTTTTATTTACTTTTTTTTTTTTTTTTTAAAGAAAAGTCCACTCGATTAACCAGGATTTTGCTGAGTGCACTTACAAATACTGGTACAGATTAAATGACAAATTCCTTCATTAAATTTTCTATTTTAATATTAAAATTTTTATGCTGGATTTAATATTGATTTGTTATTCTTTATTACATTCCGAATTCATCTGTGTGAGCAAAACAGGCAGAATCATAAATTTTCTTATTACTGCCCACTGACATTAACACTACTCCCTCACTTGAGTCATTTTCTATACAAACTAGATATTTCTGCTGACAGGATTGATGAAACTTAATTTATTTTAGAAGCATCACTATTTAAATTGGATGTTGTACATTGAAAGTCGAGATGAAAAGGATTGAACACAAGCTTTAGTAATATGAAGATAGAGATATGTGCGTAATCATGTAAATGTATTACTAAGAATTTTTCTATAGAAATGCATTGAAAATCAAGAAATAAATTGTCAGTGGCCAGGAATTAATACAAACACTGATAGAAAAGGGCTGTTATATGTATGATGTAAATGCACTGAAAGTTGATTAATCTGTATTTTACATTATTCGGACTATTGTCCTCATCTTTGCCGCCATATTTATTACGTTTCAGACGCTGTATGCTTCGGCCTTCTTCAGGTGGTTGCAATGTCGAACTTAACCCTTTATTTCACTCACTGGGGTAGACTGTTCTAGTTCCATGTCTAATGGATGTCAGTTATCAGTTATCTCCTGTTAATTTTCCCTCTGAAAGTTCTCCACTGCCTTAAGACACATGGCACAGTGGATAAAGGCGTTGGTTAGATCCAGTGACAGGACCCAAAGAGTGCGAGTTCAATAACTGGTTAAGGCAGTGGAGAACTTTCAGAGGGAAAATTAACAGGAGATAACTGACATCCATTAAACATGGCATGTAGAACTCGAAGAGTCTATGTACATAATACCTCATCTCAGAAATATAGACAGAGACTGTATTTTACAGCTTATCAACCCTTTGTGGCTTATTTAAAGCTGAAATGTATTTTAGATTGTAAGAATTTTTATAATTAATAATTGCATTAATAACTTTTTGGGAATAACGGTTTTTCCAGCTACAAGTTCTAATATTTAACCCTTAGTTGGGGGATTCACACCTTTCCCAACTAGAATTAAAACTGATTTCTCATTGTAAGCCACTATCCATTACACCATTGGCAAATCCACTGAAAAGGATTGCCAATGGTCAGAAATTATCAGCAAGTATTACTGATAGAATATGGTTTATTATACATAGAATGTAAATGTATTGCTAATAATTTTACTATAGAGATACATTAAAAGTCAGTAAGGAATTATCAGTGGTCAAGAATTAATACAAGCTTTACTGATAGAATAAGGACATAAGATATATTTGTCAAAGAGTGCAATTTTGTGTAGCGATTCACATTTGCCAATCCCCTTGACCCGAATGAGACCAAAGCAGCAAACGACGATCACAAGTGCTTAATTTCTGCTTCTATAGAAATTAAAAACGCCACATTCTTCATTGGACACAGAAAAATTTTTATTTGTAAAGAATAAAAAAAATAAGCAAAAGGTTTCTAGGATCATTTTGTAAAAATCCAGTGGGGAGGGGGAATGTCTAACATTTTCAAAGTTGAGTAAATGGTGAATACAAGCAAACTTATAATCACTAAACTAAAAAAAACAAATTAAGTTGTAAATTTAAAATAAATTAATTTATTTATTATATATATATATATATATATATATATATATATATATATATATAACATCAATCAGTATTTGCACCCCCACCTACCCCAGCCAGATAAGTATTTTTAGAATTGTTATTACAAAAGCTGAATAAATTACATTAAAAAAATTATTTCTGTTCATTTTATTTATTAAATTTAAGAACTTGATCCAGCTTTTCACGTGGCAAATATTTAATGTAATGAATTGTAAAATCAGACCAAATTTGTTTTAATTTGGAAGAGGATCATTTTTTTTTTCTTTTGTTCCGTTTTCGTCTGATTCGTGTTAGCAACTTGCATTCACTTTCCCACCAGTGCATAAAACTGAAATTACTTCCAATGTGTGACGACCTCAGCATAGATTATGTTTTCTCCAATGCTTTTTTTTTTCTTTCTTAGCAACCATAAATAATAAGCCAATGTTTATAAGGAATAGAGTGCACTTAATTTTTCCTTTTTCCAGTTTTTTCTTCTTAGAATCAATAATTGAAATGAAAGGATGTCAAACAAAACAGTCTTATGACAATTTCAAGCTTAATTTTTTTTTTTTTTTTTTTAAATAAAGATTGGTTATTACTGATAAACATCATTTAAAAATTTTAACAGCATTAATAATTTCCACAAAGTTGGAGAACAAAATAATTTAAAAACATTTTGTAATAAAAAAAAAAAAAAACAAAATAAGTCAAATTTGCAACAGTACTATCTGTATTAGACAACAGAACAAAATTTTAGTGTTACACATGGGAGTGATGGCATTTTCGTAAGTCTTACTGAAAACAATAAGAAAATTTTTCACAAGTCATTTTTAGAGTCGCTTTTATTCCAACTAGTCTTTGGGATGGTTTTTTTTTTTTTTTTTTTCCTTTTTACAATTTTTTTTTCTACATCCTCAAAAAGACAAATGTCATCAATTTTTTCATGCGATATTAGGTCAGATAAAAAAAAAAAAACCAACACCTGCTGTTTAAGTTTCCATCATATCTGCTACAATTGGTGGTCAACCATCTTCAATCTCATCCACTTCATATATTATGCTGTGGATAGTTGGCTGCTGGTCGGGGATAGGCACTGCCATAAGAACCTGGACCCCGAGCGTAAGGGTTAGGACCACCAGTGCCACCAGCAGTGGGCGGAGGGGTAGCCGAACTCACTTGGGGATTAAATCCATATTGTTGGTTTGCCTGTCCTTGGCCCTGAAAATACATTGAATGTGAAAAGCTTTCAGAAAAAAAAAAAAGGAGGGGGTGAAAACCATCTAATAATAAATGGCATTTTCTGTATCAGAGTCAAATGATTTCATTCACACATTTTAAGTAAGAAACTGATAAATGACGTATGCCTGTTAAATTTTTTTTCTTTTCTTGAAATTGAAAAAGACTAACTAGAAATTAAAATGGAAAAGATTTCATGTGAAATGATTAATAAAATGATCTGTAACTTCAGCAATCCTTTCTGAATGAAAAGTCAAGGGAAATTTTCCTGTTTCTCCAAGAAGAGAAAACACCAAATTCAAACTAATGCAGACAAAAATCAAACATTTTCTCTCTTTCCTCTTTTCATCGGCACATGTGACTGACATCATTTCTGTTCCTCAACTACACTAAAAGTAAATTTCTCCGCAAAAGGGTCCTTCTTTTGCTTTCTTTTAAAACCAGTCGTGTGAAGCTCAGGCACTTCAGAAATAATAGTTGAGAGGTGCTGCAAAGTTTTACACTTTAAATACCATGAGAGAAATGCAAAATACTTCTAAAATCATACATTAAATATCTTTATAGAAGACTTTTTCAATTCAAATGAATTTTTTTTTTTTTTGTATTTTCAAATTTCTTCAGTTTCTCACGCAATACCCAAATTAAACGGATTTATTTTACAATTATATCAAAACCAACATTAGTTTGATATTCAAAATTCCATGGGCAATTTATAATTAAGATGATATTAAGAAATAATAATAAAAACAAATTTTCACTGTATCATAGTTTCCTTTGATTTTTTGACATGCATTACTATTCACATCCAGTAAGAAGTGCGTTCGATTACAGTAAAACGAGTTAATGTTTTTGAATCAATTTTATTATGGATGTTACTATGAATAAACAAATCAAATTATTTTTACAGGTAATGTGATTAGAAAAGTTGTCGTTATTAAATGTTTGACTAATATTTGTTAATTCTTTATAGAAAATTGTTTTAGAGAAAGAGATTAATTTAACATGGTTAAGAATGACCGTCTTGTATCGGTAAAAGGCTTTTGCTACAATAATTAGGGAAACGAGTTAATATTGCTGTAGTATATTAGTGAAGCACTTGATAAGAACAATGTTTCTAGTCACATTACCTGTAAAACTAATTTGATTTGTTCATTCATAATCACAGTAAGAATAATAAAACTGATTCTAAAAAAATTCCTTTTACTGTAAGCACATGCTTACTGGATGTGAATAGATTCTTTATAAAAAAAATTGTTTTAAATAGGAAGAGATTACTTTAGCACGGTTGGTAAAGTTGTTTATGATGGCTATCTTGTATCAATAAAAGGTATTGCTATGATAATTATGAGGACAAGAGTTAATACTGCTACAGGTTTTGGTAGACTAAAAGCAATAAGACATAGATTATTAAAAATCAATGACGGCAACATAAAACTGATTTTCAATTACAGAAAAAGACGAAAAGATCGTTGTTCTATACCAGTTCTCTTGCCCTTTCAAAGATGTCTGTTGATAAACCAAGAAAAAAAATTGGTTATGCCACATTTCTCTTAAGACTGACTAGTCATCTCTGAGCAAAGTGCAATATGGAAAAAACACACACATTTTATATAAGTTAAGTAAACAAATTGGAAACGTTTATCAATCTAACAGGTTTCACTTTTATTAAAACTTTGTCAGAGATTGAGTTATGGGGAAAATAAAAAAGAAATTCCGATATTTTTACTTTTGAATTGTTTGATTTTCATTGGTCAGTCATGTATCACATACAGTCGACTCTTTAAACATGAAACATTTAGTACAAACTACAAGTAGAATAAAAACATTGGTTTGTGAAATTTGATGACAGTGATTGTGAGTTCAATCCTTGGGTCGGGCAGTGAGTACTTGCACTCCATTAAAACAGACAAGCAATAACTGAACAGTACTAAATAAAACTAAGAACTAGATGAGATATCCCTAGACATGAGCAGTAGAACAAGAACAGTTTATCCCTATAAATTAAATAAAGGGTTTAGGTGAGAATTCCTTGTAGGTTACCTAGGACGATATACACCTAAAGAAGGCTGCAGGGCGCAACGGGTGAAATGTCATGATAACAACAACAAAGATGAGGAAAATAGCCTTAATATAAATAGTGTAGATAATGGTAATTTCTCATCCCAGAAAATTTAAAGATTGTGTCTAAATGGTGGCAGATCTTCTAATTCCCTGAGAATCTCCATGTTGCAGAAATTAAATAGAAAAGCCAGAGAGAAAATGAATTCTTATCTCACTTCTTCTGTATATTCACTGGAAAGATGTTTCCAATAGAGGTTGACATTCAAACTAACATCTTCATCTTTGTTGTTATGATAATGTTTCAACTGCTGTGGACATCTTCAGATATCTGTCAATCAGGGAATTTCAAAATCATTTATTTAATGTAGGAAGGTATATTGTTCTCATTCTGCTGCCTGTGTATATGTAATATAATTCAAGATTTTGTAGCATTTCAAATAGATCCATGTTGTACCTTTTTGAATATTTTTGCATAATCTACGAAAACATAGGTATCAGTTTTTCTGCATTCATATTGCTTGCTCTAATAACATTACAATCATAAAGATGGCATTTCAGTTTCTAGTGTCTTGAATAAAGCGCCATATTTCTGGTCTAATTCTACTAGGTGTTCTAATTCTTTAGAATACTATTGATATGCTTTGTTATGTAGCACATTAAGCTGATTACTCAAAGGAGTTTGCATTCACCTGACTTCTTTGGCAATATAGATAGATCATTTATTGATCTCTTCCAGTATTTCAACACTGTTATATTTCATTATTTTAGTAACTATCAATCCCCAAGTTCATATTACGATCTCTATCTGGTCCTGCTGCTTTGTTTTTCTTCTTGGTCAGTGTTCATCTTACTTCAGGTTTTAATCCCACAGGTCCTTCCATACTTTTTGCATTGCAGGTTTTAGTCCTCCATTGTCGTGGAAGAGCTTTCCAATTTATTTGATCCATTTTTGCAGTATCTTCTCTTTTTCTGTTATGATTGTCTGCATTTTAGATTTTATGCATCCTATAGAAAAACAGGTTTTCTAATCTCTGCTATTTCTGTCATTTTTGATACACACCTGTTATGTTTGTATTTTATAGTGTCTACCTCTGCACACTTGTAGAAAGTCTTATTGGTTACAAATGTTAAATGATATTTCAGGTTTTTGCAGGTTTTTTTTTTTTATAGAATGTGTAGTCCAGTGATTCTCAACAACCATGCTTGCAAAATATTGTCAAGGCATGCGCACACACACACACACACACACGTGTGTGTGTGTGTGTGTGTGTGTGTAAGTAGCAATGGTACAGTATTAGTATTTGAATAAATGAATAAGTATTAAACTTTTTATCTTACATCCTGCTAAATAGGCTTTATCAGTTTCATTGCAATTTTCTACTTATTTACGTGAATTCAGTGTCTCAATCCTTAATAACATCAAAAATAAGAAGCACGGAAGACTACACTGAATTGAAGAAGAAATGTGGGTGTGCTTATATTATTACTATTTACGCGAATTCAGTTTCTCAATCCTAAATAGCATCAAAAATATGAAGCGTGGAAGACTACGCTAAACTGGAAAAGAAATGAGGGTCTGCTTATTTCATATTTGACATTGAAGAAATAAAAAAAAAAAAAAAAAAAAAAAAAAAAGCCACCAGGCACATGTTTTACACTAAATAAGCTGCACAAATAGTTGAACAGAAACATTGAAATAAAATAAGTTCATATTTGTGTGTATTTTTTTTAAATCTATGTTTTTATTTCATGACATTTAAATGTTTACCCTTTAAAAATTTTGCTAAGTGTGTCATGATATTTTCATTTGCTACTAGGTGTACCATTGCTTAAAAAAGTTGAGAAACACTAGTGTAATCAGAATAGGAGGTTAAAGCAATCTAAGAGGTAATTCAGTATTTAGCCGCAAAAATAATCTATTATTTCATTCACAAATAAGTTCTAATTTTGAGATTCAAAGATGATCAAATGACCATAAAATTCCACTGATGTTATGAAATACCAAAACAAAGAAACTAAATTAACAAAGAAACTAAAATAAAAAAAAAAAAAAAAAAAAAAAAAAAAATCAATGTATATTAGTAACAGTAGACTGTATTCCAATTTAAAAAAAAAACAAAAGATAAATAATTTCAAATATATTTTAAATTTCTTTAGTATCTAGATAAGTTACAAACAATAACTTATTTAACCCCCACACCCATTTTGTTGTCATCACCGGCTGGGCGGGTCAGGTGTCCAGAATGCATCCTACTCAACTCCCACATATCAACCTGTTTGGAGAATTCGCTAGTGGCAAGAGGCTATGTGGAGGGCCAAAACAATGGTTTATGGATCAGTTGAAGACATCCCTGACATTAGCCAACATCAACCCTGGAGACCTGAGAAGCTGTTGCTGCAAATCAGCCTTCCTGGCATAGGACCATTAGGTTTGGGGTTGCGAGACTTTCTTGTCCAACCATCAACATGAAAAGGATCTGTGACATGCTGTTAGGAGGGCCCAACTCACCCAACCACATCCACCACCCCACACTCCTCTGTGACTCTTGCTCACAACTCTTCAGGAGTAGGCCTGGTCTTGACAGCCATCTCTGTCACCCCCACAAGAGAGGAGAAACAGAATAAGGAGAGAGGATGATGATGATCCCAATGCAAGCAGGTACTGACTAATACAAACAATGAAAATTTCTAATAAATAAAAGATACTATATATTGAAGAGATTTTTGTTTGAAAATATGAAATCTAGGAGGAAACAAAAAAAAAAAAAAAATTCAACTTAATTCAGAATAAGACCCAAAATCTCACAATAAAAACTAAAAACAAAACAAAAACTTGTGATGATCTAATGTTTTTTCCTTTAAATATATCAAGTCTGTTTTGCTATTTTAAGTGTTTCAAGAACCAATTGTGCAAAATTGGT